AAAAAAAAAAGAATAAAAAAAGGAGTTAAGGACATAGCCCCAGCTTTTAGGATATTTGGTTTTGGAGGGTAATAAGATAAGCACAAAAATAACTATAATACAAAGCAGTGTATGGTCAATAATAATAACAATAATTAACACCTATTAATATAGTGGTTAAGAGCATGATCTCTAAAGTTATACCATATGATTGAAATAGTGGTTCAGTCATGTGATGTTGGGGAAGTTACTTAACCTCTTTGTGTGTTACTTCCCTTATAAAATAATACCACTTATCTAGCAGGGCTGTTATGAGAAGTAGATGAGTTACTTGATGAGTTAATACATGTAAAAAATTAGCACAGTATCAGCACATTTAAAATATGCAATAAATAACAGCCAACATTTATTGAACACTATGTGCCAAGCACTGTGTTAAATGGCTTATATGCATTACTTCACATAATCTCCACAATGTTGTTTCTACTATTATACTCATTTTACTGATAAGGCAACTGAGGGGCAGGAAGTTTAGGTAACTTGCCCAAGATTACATAGCTAGTAAATAGCAAATTCCATAGGAAAGACAAATCTATAAAATGGTGATAATGACAATAGTACTTACCTTAATAAGAACTAAACAAATTAATATTTGAAAAATGGTTAGAGCAGAGCCTAGCACACAGTAAGGTCTATGTAAGTAGATTGTTAAACAAATACTAATTGCTATGGTGATACAGAAATGGCAGCAAATAACTTCCATGCATGGAGACTAAGGATGGCTTTGGAAAGGTGACATGTAAGCTGAGCCTACAAAAGAGGGAGGGGAGTGGAGGAGAGGCAGAGGAGAAGAGAGGAAGAGGAAGGGGAAGGGGAGGAGAGGGAAGGAGGAAGAAGAGTTGGGGAGGCGGGGAGGAGTGACAGATAGGCAGAGGGATAAAGTTCAGAATAGAGTCAGCAAAAAGAAAAAAAAATAGGAGCAGTTAAGTTTGAATAGGTTTTTAAAAAGATTCCTTTCCTCCAATCAGTTACTATTTCTGCCAGCTGTACTTCAGTATATCGTTTATCATCTTCCTTTCACGAACCCTGTGGAATCTGCTATCCTTAACCCCTCATTAGTCATTTTATAACATTTATGTAGAGCCTCTATGTGCCAGGCACTGTTCTAGGCACCTGGGATACACCAATGAACAAGACAGGCCAAGTCTCAGTTCCTATTCTGCTCTACAATAGTACTCCAATACTCGAAGCCGGATTCCCAGCTTTTCGTCAGCCCTACTCTGAGCCATTCTCCACACTGAAGCCAGAGAGACTGGAAAGTTACAGATCTGGTCCGGGTACTCCTTGCTTAAATCCCCCTGTAGTATATTCCCATCGTGTACAGATAATTTCAGTCGCCCTAGCATCCTATTCACCGCCTTTCACTAATTGTCCCGCACAGCCTTACCGCCCACCTTAACCTCCACACACTCTGCACTTGACTCGCAGTAAATCAAAGTCTTTGATACACACACGTGGAAATAAGCACCTGCTGAAAGGACACGGCTAGAATTCCATCCTTATTTCATTTGTACATTGAAACCTTGAGAAAGCCCTGGTTACCGTCCCCTCTCCAAGCAGCGAGTCTAAAGAGCAGCGCTGCCTGCGCGCTCCCCCGCAGCCCCAGCATCCCGAGAAGCCTGTGCGCACTCCCAACCCAGCGGGGGCTGGAAGAGGAGGGGCTTCGCGCGGCCTCGGGGCCGCCATTTTGGCTGAGTTGGCCGGAAGTGGTCCAGCTAGTCGGCTCGCGGGCGCGCACTGAGGCTGCGCGGTGGCCGCGCCGCAGGTCTTCGGCGCCGGCAGCTTTGGGGCAACCGTCCCGAGCCTTATGCGGCGTCGCCCAGCAGGCACAAAACCCCCTTCTGCCATCTTTCCTAGTCCTACTCCAGCCTCCCCAGCCGCTGTCCAACCCCTCCGCCGGGGTTTGTGCAGCGGCTCGCACAACCCTCGGCTCGTGTACGCGCTTTGCACCTGCCTGCCTGAAAACATGCTGCCGAAACCCGAGACCGAGGGTCTCCCCATCCTTCAGACCGAGGGGGAGAATAGCGGCCTTGACGGTGAGACCCAGACCCTGACCGCCTCGCAGGAGGAGGCCCCGAGCTCCCTCCTGCGGGGCAGCCCCAGGGGGATATTGGCGCCGTAAGGGAGGAGGGGGCTGCACATCCCGCCCTCACCCCGAAAGCTGCTAGGGCCTTGGCAGCCAAAACCTTGGCCCGGCGCAGGGTCCGCCGCCATGTGGATCAGACGGTGGCCGAGTTGGTGCAGTTTCTGCTGGTGAAGGACCAGAAGAGTCCCATCACTCGCTCCGAGGTGGTGAAACATGTTATAGGAGACTTGAAGGATCTGTTCCCTGAGATTATTGCAAGGGCCTCAGAGAGTCTGCGGCATGTCTTTGGTTCCGAGCTGAAAAAGCTTGACTGTAAGCACCACACTTACATCCTGATCAACAAACTAAAACCTCTGGAGGAGGAGGAGGATTTGGGAGATGGCCCCAGATTGGGTCTCTAAATGATGATCTTGGGCCTTATCTACATGAAAGGTAATAGCGCCAGGGAGGCACAGGTCTCGGAGATGCTGCGTCTGTTGCGGGTGCGTCCCTCAAAGTATCACTTCTTCTCTGGGTATCCGAAGAGGCTTATTATATAAGATTTATTATATAAGCTGAGATACCTCAGTAACAGGCGTTATGCCTCACACCAATCCACCGGAATGTGAATTCTCCTGAGGTCCCCGAAGCAACCTGGAAACCAGCAAAGTGAAAGTCTTGGGGTTCCTGCCCAAGCTCCATAAGAAAGAACCCCACCACAGGCCAGTGCAGTACCGTGAGGCCCTGGCAGACGATGCTGACAGAGCCAGAGATGAGGCCACAATGAGGGCGAGGACTAGGGCCAGGGCCAGTGCTAGGGCCGGCATCCACCCCTGGTGAGGGCTGATGGAAGAGTGGCCAGCCAGAGGGGATGGGGATGAGTAGGTATAAAAGCTACTGAGTCGTAAGTAGAATAGGTGCGGGGAGGGTCATTATTTCTGTAGCACTTGCATTTCTGTAACTAGGATTTAGGGTTTGTATCTTGCTACGTTTTGTTACATTTAGTATACTGTTAAATTGATGTTTATAAATGAGATTGGTCTACATTTTCTTGTAGGATTTTTTTGTAGAGTTTTGCTGGTTTTGTAAAATGAAATGAAAAACTTAACATTTTATTCTGTGATCTTGGACAGATTATGCAGCATTGAATGCTGCACGTTAATCATTTGAAGGAACTCAGCAATGTGATGATCTAGTACTGGAAAAAATAGCTGATTGGTATCCAGCTTCCCAACACTTTTTGTCTATTGTATAAAGAAAAAGATTGAATGTAACTCTGTTTGCTTAGTTACTACGGTATCTAGGGGGGAAATGCAATAAATTAAAAGAATAACCTGGTATACCTAATAAACGTTTGTTAAGCATCTTCTTTTGTGTGATGTACTATTGGGGGTATTTGGGGATAGAATGCTGAACGAGATAAAGGTCCTACTTTTCAGAACTGGACAGTAAGTAAATAAACCAGAAATTAGGGTGTGGTGAGTTGAAGGCTACAGAGGGACACCCATCCCCACTGGGGTGAATAGGTGAGACTTGTCTGAGGTTACCTTTTGTCAGACTTGGGGGTAGGGAGGGGGAAATGACAGGGTGAGTAGAGCAGAGGGAAATGAGAAGAGGAAGAAGTTAGGGGTGGGAGATGGTATTAAAAGTGACTTAAGATCATAGATGCTCTTCAATAACATGGGAAGACGTGATACGTGGCAGATCTGGAAAACACCCTACCCTTGCCAGTATGCTTGTTCCAGGGCTGTTTATCACAGTGCACAAATAGTGATGGGGTCTGTTAGCATTTTGGTCCTCTCCATCTCCCTTCTCTCAGTCTATGCGGAGACCAAATATTTTACTAATTCTGGAACAGTATGTAGTGTGGGTGGAGGGTACATGTGATGTTCCCTACCACCAAGAAGCTCTGCTTCAAGATCTCTCCCTTGGCACCAGGAAGCCCAGCATCCTCATCCGTGTTTCTGCTTGTGCTTTCTACCCGCCGTCTCTCATTTGGAGAACTGTAAGGCATCCCACATTCTTAACTACCCATGAAAAGGCATCTATGTAAGCAGCTAGAACCTCTGCAGTGCCTACCACCTCCACACGGGGGATAAATCCTGTAGAATGGGTACACAGAATATTAAGGAACCTATAGGAGTGGTGGTGACCAAACCAAAGAGGAGTATAGAGGGGACTGTGAAACTGTCCCCCCGTAGCTGCCATACACAGAAGAGCCACTTTCTTCCCTTTACTGCCAGCTTTTTTTCCTGCTCTCAGTTGTGTCTGAATAACATTTCTGAGTCTGTTAAGGTTAGCGTGGAATATGAATACTCTAGGACACAGGCCCAGGGATCCAACAAATCAGAATAAGATCAAAAGCTATAAGCTTATAGGTAAAAAAAAATTGACTAATGATTAAAAATATGACTTCTGAGCAGTTTATAATTCATTAAACAAAAATACTGAGTGCCTGCTACATGCCAAGGACTTTGCTGGGTTCCAAAGATTAAGATGTAAAAACCAGCTTTGCCCTCAAGAAGCAATAGTGATAATTTCTCACATTTGTATTTTCTCACAGCTGCTGAGAGGTCAGCAGCGTGTGCACCTGAGAATCTGATTTCCTGGTGATTTGCCTATGGTCACCTGGCAAAAGACAGTACCAAGGCTAGATCCCGAGTCCTTTGCCTCCCAATCCAATGTGTTTCATTCTAGTACATTGTTCCCTGCATCTGGCTTCCAATATATTATATGTGATTTTATTTATCACAATTCCAAAAGTCAAGCGAGGCATGTGTAATTATCCCCAGTTGCCACTGCAGTCCTTACGGGATTGAGCAGAGTAGAAAAACTCCCCATTTCACTGGCAGCAGAAGTGGCTTTTCTTAAGGTCAGACATACAGTAACATATAGCTCATGGCAAGTGAGACTAACAACTACCATTTATTAAACATCTGCTATAGGCCAAAGGCATTTTCCCCCTACTTTTCATAACCACATTGCAAAGTGGGTATTATGAAGGCACCTCCATTTTACAGATATTAATACTTGCCATTTATTCAATACCTAAGCTTTTTATGCTTTACAGAAGTTTTAATGATTTTTTACAAGAATCCAGCAGGATAGATATTATCGGTTCCATTTTGAACTATGCAAACTGAAACTCGGAGAAGCTGTAAAGTTCTGGTAGATAGTGTATGACATAACAAGGATTGGAACTGAAGTCTGACCAAGTCAAAATCCCACATTGTTCACTATTTTACATTTCCTTCTTCTTGGGACTCCTTTCAGGCATGGGGCCTCATGTTCTTTCTTCCAAACATGGCTCTCTCTCTGGAGATACAGACAAGGGTCGTGTAGCCAAGGTAACTATGACAGACACTGGCCTGCAGGAGGGTAAAAAGGAGGCTAAAGTCAAGTTGGAGAATTATCTGTGAACATCGGTCCCGGATCTGCTCACCCCCAGTGTTCTCAGACTGCTTACTACATGGAGAATGTATATTTTCGCTTGAACTCAGCATGTTTTGCCCCTAGAGGCCATGTTTCCTCAGTCTTCTTTAGTCTGCTCTCTCCACTAAGCCTCAAGTCTTTCATGCCAGGGAACAATCAGATAACATTTGTGGTCCTGCAAATATGATTCCCAGTGTTGTTTCCAGATGGCACAAAGGGCTGGCAGAACTCGTACCCTTGCCTCAGGATGAAAGACCTTCTGTGTCACACATGCCACCATCAACTTCTCAGAGTATTAAAAGTGTGGCCTCTGGGCCCATGTGTAGAGCAGACATTGGCCACGGTAAGGGCAAGAGATGGATTCTCCTGCTGCTTAGGGTCATTCAGATGAGGGAGGAGGAAGGCCTGGATCCCTGGTCTCCTTCCCCTCCAGACACAAACAGAACTAGATCTTCCCTCTGAACCACTGTGGGTGGGAGAGCAGAGGGATGTTGTTGGGGCAGTGGTGGCAGATGATGACTCCAAGTCATACTTCCTCTGCTACAACTAGGAAGCAAAGCCAGTGAAGGAAATGCCCTTGGAAACTAGGAATCTGGCCCTAGACAATGGGAAGTTCTCAGTTCAGCCGCAGACTCTGCAGGGATCTTGATATTCACCAGAGTCGGCACTTTTGACCCACTGGTACTTGGAGAATGGGTGTTTGGAAACAGGCTCAGGTTGATTACAGCCCCAACATCTAGGAGGCACATAGTGCTCCAGAGGGGGCAGCTCATTTGCAGCCCCTGCAAATCAGGCCTCAATTCACAAGCTCAATCACAGTTTCCTTTTGAGATAATTATGCTTCATGCCTCAGTCATGGTGGCAATTGATGCTTGTGCAAATTATTCCTCAAATTGTGCAGCCCAGCAGAGATGGCAACAATTACCTCCCAGCAGAAATACAGTGTTCTGACTAAAGAGGTTAGGTAGTCTGAAAAGGGTCCCAATCAAAGCCTTTTAAAATCATGACTGTGTGACCTTGAACCAGGAATTCCAAACTCTGAGGACTGAAGCTCTAGGAAAGCTGAGTGGGTGACTGGAGTTAGCACACAACCCATCCTACCAGCAGATTGCAGACCCTTCCCAGCTCCCAGTCTACTCATGACTGATAGCAACAGCAGCCAACAATTATTAAGCCTTATGTGTCGGGCATGGTATTAAGTATGAGAACCAAATTGTCTCCTGAAACTACACAACAGCTCCACAAGGCAGGTCCTGCGTGTGCCAACATCACAATACTGTAGGCAAACAACAAGGAAAGAATAATTCCTTCCATTCTGTCAACGCACAAGTTAAATGACCTGCCCAAGGTCCTAGCATCGCTCGTGAGCAGCGGATCCAGAGCTTGAACCTAGATCTCCTGGGTTTTTGCTGTTATTCCACCCTGCCAGTCTGCAGGAGGTTCTCAGGGAACAACCAACCTCCTTTGGGAAAATGGGGCTGAGGGAGAAGAAGAGAAAACCTGTGGGCCTGCTCAGTTGTATCTAAACTTGAGCACCCAGAGTAGAGACAGTGAGGGAGGGGAGGAGCAAGTTGGCTTCTCTGATTGCAAGGTCGTGGGTCTTCTGTCACCAGAACAGACCTGATTTGGGAGAGGAGCCTGTCTGCAGGAATGATAGCTGTGGGCAGCAGCGCTGTGGTTCCCGCAGTGAGGGAACCAGTGCTCGAGATGCAGCGGGCTGTCAGCACAGTGCCGGACAGCTGTGAGGATGGAGGTGTCTCCTGCAAGGGAGAGCTCCTGCCCCCAGAGCAGACGGATCTGCATTCCAGTCCCACTCTGCCCACACGTGATAGCACGTGCCTTCAGCTGAGTTACCCAACCTCTCTGAGCTTTGGTTTCCTCATCTTTAAAATAGAGATAATGCTACTCTACCTCAAAACACTGTGAAGGCTGAATGAGGCAGGGAGGGTAGTAGCTCAGTGGTAGACCACATGCTTAGCATGCACGAGGTCCTGGGTTCAATCCTCAGTGCCTCCAACAATTAAAAAAAAAGACTGAATGAGGGAATTACTAAGCACCTAGCACAAAATCTGGTAAACTGTATTCACTCATTCAGTAAATACTTATTGAGCATCTTCTACACATAGCAGACATACATCTTGGTGGTGAGATTACAGCAGAGAAGAATATATGCAAAAATCCTTCTTCTAGAGCTTATTTAAGATAGATAATAAAGGGGCATAATAAGTAGCATGTAGGGTGGAGATCTATGTTGCAATGCAAAATGAAGCAGGAAGAGGGAAAGAGCTCCCGGAGGGTATGCAAATTTAATACTCTGGTCAGGGAAAGCCTCACTGAGAAGTGACATTTGAGTCAAAACTGAAGGTGATAAGCAGGAAGCCCAGAAACTGTCTTGGGGGGGTGGGAGGGTGGGGTAGCAGAGGTGCCAGCAGATGGAACAGAGAGGATGAAGGCCCAGGGTGGAAACAAGCCAGGTGGGTTCTGAGAAGTAGCCCCTGCAAGCAGAGTGAGCTGAGAGGGAGGAAGGAGACGTGTTCCCTCTCCTGAAGGAGCCTGCACAGCTGGCACAAGTACCCAAAACGAGAAATACACACGGATCTGCACCCAAGAGTTACCATAGTAGTTCAGCGGCGGGGAGAAACCATAACAGCCTTAGGCAGCACAGAGGCTTCTGCTGCGCCCAGAGGGGAAGAAAACAGAAAAGATTCATTATTCATAGCTTTTGTTTTCCAATTACAAATGCTTATAGTAGAAAATTTGGAGAGGTCCATGAAAATATAAAGAAGAAAATGAATTCTCTAGAATACTGGCACCCAGAGGCAACCATGATTAGCAGTGTAGTATGGTTTTATATCCATCACTAGTATATTTAGTTTTCACCCATCAAGGGAATAATGATTTGTTGCTACTTTAACAATGAGTTACAATGACACTGAGCCTCACTCCATGCAATATTTCCCTCTAATACTTCTGGGAGCTCCCAATGGGGCATCTCAAATGATGTCACAAACCCATCTATCCACAGCAGTCACCAGGCAGGGCTCGTGGAGGCCTGGGAAAGGAGCCTCTACTGCAGATGGTCCTTGTGGGGTCCTCAGCATCCATGAATGCTGCCTCCTCTGATGCCCCCAGTGTTCTAGACGGGGGCAGTGGTTCTGTGCAGAGATGAACAGAGTGTCCTTCTCCCGAGCTCTGTGTCAAGAAACATCACCTGGGTCCCAAAGCAGCAGTGCCAGGGCCTCTCCAGCCTCCTCAGGAAGCCTGCTTGACTCTGCTTGTGATTTCTTGCAAGCAACTCTCCAAACTTCAGCTGCAAATAGTCACCTTCACAAGGACCAGTCCAGGCTCCCTTCCTCCACAACTCTTTTCCTCAAACCTTAGGGGGAAAAGAGACCGAAAGGCAGTCCCTGTCTCCCAAGACATAGCTATTTACACCGCTGAACTAGAACGGTGAACATGTGCATTCATGCTGACAGTGATGACACAGTTTTAGATTGGTGCTAATTTTCCCAAAACAAAGCGAAAGTCTGCCCCAAAGTTGAACTGAATCCTCCTCCTCTAGCAAACTGCTAGCAACTATAGCTCCTTTCCCCCAACCTTTCCTACAATCATGTTTTCAAAAGCTTATGGTGCATCTTAGCCAGGGATGTTATATACTGTGAGAGATGGCTAGAATTTAGGTACAAAGTTGGAATGGAGAGAAGGATTCTAGGTAAGGGAAAACACTTCAGCAAAGGTCAGGTAGCAAGAGTGTGCAGTGTCCCGGGAACCATGAGGGGACTGGTTAAGTTAGAGCAGAGTTTGTGGAGAAGAGGAGAGGGTGCTGTGGATGGAGAGAGAACAGCTAGGGGTAGTGGCTGAGGGAGAGTGATGAGCACATGGACAGTGGACTGGCTGGTTGTGAAAGGGGAGGCTGGAGGCAGGGAGGCCACATGGGAGACCATGCCACTCCAAACTGGAGTCAATGACAGCCTGACCAAAGGAATGGTGCAGCAGGAATGGGGGTGAGAAAGGACTGGTTGGGGGAATAACTTGAAATGATTTGGTAATTGGTCAGCTGTGGGGCATGTGAGGTATGACTCAGCAACTTCAAGCTGGCGTGTCTGGAAGAATGCTGGCGTCACTCATTAGAACAGCTGGGTGTACAGGGGGAGCCGGTTTGTGGTCAAGGAGATGGATATGTCATCAGTCATACTGAGTCTCAGTTGCTGAGTTGAAAGTCCCATGAACTCTTAGAACTGGAGGGATGCTGAGGTATCAGAGTCTGAGTCTTCTTCTTAGAGGACATAGCCAAAACCATGGACTTTCTCCTTGGGAGAGAGTCTAGGGGGAAGAAAGCAGGAACCTGACCCATCTCTCTTCTTGCTACAAGCAATGATCTTGGCAGTCACAAGCAGATTACACAGAAATGCAGTCCTGCCCGCATAGTTGCCTTCTGGGTCCATCTTCTGAACTTACTTCTACAAATGACCTAGGGGCTAAGAAGAAGGTCTAGGGAGCAGCATGGCCAGGGAGTCATGGAACTGGGAAAAGAAAAGTGGCAAGTTGTTGTAGGTGAGTGTAAGCTAAGGGGGGCCAAGATTCTTTGTATTCACTAAAAAGAGAACTGCAAACACACAATCACACTGCAGCTGGACAGAGCTAACCCAAGGCTTAAATGGGCCAACCCATGGGATTCCAAACTTAGAGCCTTTCTCTCCCCACTTTCTAATAGACCTTCTGTCTTGGAATGGAACTTTCCAGGCAACATCTTACGTTTGATCAAACCTGAGATATCTGCACTGTGCAGGACACATCCCAAGATGGGGAGGTTCTCACTCAGGGAGAATCTACACTTTCAACTTCTTGGGCACACAGAACATGTCGCCCAGATGCAAATGCACACTTGGTATACACATACAGAAATATCTCCTCCAACTCCACAGGAGACACTAGGAAAAAATGTCACTTGGCAGCTATCATATATCAGGTAATTTGCATGGAGCGTTCCAAATATTTTTACATTTAGGCTCATAACAATTGTGAGAGAAAGGAATCATTTTCCCATTTTTAAAAAAAAACAAGGCTCAGAAAAGTTAACTATTTTTCCCAGGATCACACGCCTAGAAAATGGCAGATGATGCCTGACCCAGATCTGCCTGTGCACTCACGTGTTACTATTCTTCTTTCTTCACATATGTGTGCACCCTAGACTTACACACACAAACATATCCAGCCCCTCTACACACACAAAATCCCCATAGAAAGTAAGCTCCTTGAGGGCAAGGATTTCATTTTGTTCATTAATAAATCCCAGGCTTCTAGAACAGTGTCTGGCACATACTACACAATCAATAAATATTTTTTGATTGTCATTAAATGAACTGAATGAATACACATGCATGCAACACTCACCTGTGTACATGTACATCTATACATACATGCATTCGCACACTCACCTTCATATACGCTTAATAGATACATCAAATTCACTGCCTGAGACATTATGCTGTACATCAGAAATTGACACATTGTAATTGACTATACTTCAATTAAAAAAAAATTTTCATTAAAAAAAAGTTCACTGTCTGAAAGGAGACCCCAGGTGAGGCCCCAGCTCTCAGCACTGGACCCATAGGCCTGCTCCTGATGGGTGAATTCTGCATGATGGGCAGCACTGCTGGACTCCCCAGACCCCTCCCCACAGCCGGCAACCAGCCCTCTCCCCAGCCTCAGCACATCCCACCTCCTTCTTTTCTTAGCTCAGTCAAAACAAAGACTTTTTCTAAAAGATCTTTACTAAGAGAAAAAGTAGAGAAAAATAAATCAAGAAACTATAAGCTCTTAAGGGCGTAAGTTGACAGAGCCAGATTCTTATCCTAAGCCATGCCCTCAAGTCTGGCCATGGCCTGGCTTGGCTGGTGAGGCCGGCAGCCTGAGGGAGTAGGGGGTTGGCACCACTGCTCAATCTGGGCGATTCTCCTATCCTCCAGATACTGCCACGGCTTCTGTCCAGGCGCAGACCCTTCTGCCATTCTGGCCTTGAGCTAACTGCAATTTTCTACCCCCTTTGCTATCTGCTGTGTCCTGGGCTTGTAAACCAGGCTGGTCCAACCCCAGTCACTCAGTAGGACTGTGTCAACCCCATGCGTAAAAGGCCAACAACCTTAATTACTCCCTAGAGTCTCAAGGATCAGCCTGGGGTTACTCCTGCCCACCTCTCGCCACATCCCATTCCACCCCTTCACCTGGTCTCCAGCTACATTTGCAAAGCCATTCTGATTGAGATACCAGAGCCCAGGATCCCAAGGATCTGTTCACCCAGACACCTCAGACAGGTGTGTGTCTGTCACCCCGTCAGTCCCTGGGCCAGGGCATTAGTGTCGCTGGGACCTCTGGATGAAAATGTAAATCCCTCAGCACACCCAAGACCTGCTGGATCAGAATCGCTGCAGGTCTGGCCCAGGTGCCAGCACTTTTAACAAGCTTCCCAGGCGACTCTCACACTCCAAAGTCCAAGAAGCACCACCCCAAATCTACTAAATTCCACACATACCCCCATGCACATATAATAACAGCTAAAACATTTATTGAGCACTTACTATGTGCCAGGAAGTATTTTCACAAATCGACTCAGTGAACCCTCACAACAATGCTGTGAGGGAGGCATGTTATCGCGCCCACTTCATGGTAACTTGCCCAGGTTCACACAGCCGTTGGTGGGAAAGTTAGGAATCGAACCCGGGCCCTGTGACTTCTGAGTCTCTAGCACACATAACTGCACCCCTACACTGACTCCTGTACTGACCACACACAGGATCCCCACCCCCTCAGAACTGCTGACAAAAGAGGAGACAGAGGGCCAGGGTGTTTTCCAAGGCTCCTGGTTTCCCTCTCACCCCAAGTCTGGCAAATGCAGATCTGAGCCGAGAGAGCCAGCAGCCACAGCCAGCAGGGCCAGGGAGCTGGTGAGCTGCGGCCCCAGGACTTTGGCAGCTGTCCCGGGCCCTGAGGCTCAGCCTGCTGCAGGGAGTCTGCCCACCACCAGCCTCCACTGAACCCTGAGCCCTGCCCCCAGCCTCCGCTGCCCAGCGTGTCCTGGCTCCCTGAGACCTGAGCCCCTGACTGGGCCCTCCTGGAATGCCGCATCCAGAGAGCAGATGTGCCTGCAGCCTCTCTCCAAAAACTGGTCTTCTTAGGAATCCTGCCATGGGGGAAAGGCAGAGGGTGGAGGGACGGAGTGGAAAAACAACTGAAATACCATAACACAGAAAAGTGATCCAAATAAAAAGCAGCAACTGCATATCTGGAAGAAATAAACTGAGGAGGAGAGGCACAGAATTGTGCAGCGTGGCCGCGAGGTTGCCAACCTTGGCAGCCCGGGGACGGGGCCCGGTGGCCGCCGCCAACCAGCCACAAGGCTGCTCTGGCCAGGGGCTGGGGGATGGGGAGAGCAGAGTCTGGGTTGACGTAGGGGTATGAGGTGTCGGTCTCAGCCAGCAGCATCCTCCTTCCCAGGGCTCCAGGCACTGTGTTCTTCAGCTCCCAAGACTATCCAGAGAGTCCATTTCACCACTCCCCACTGGAAAGGTCTACTTGGGACCATGGAAAGAGCCAGAATGATGCCTAGACTCAGAGGCATTCTGACCCTGGGGAGAGAAGGCTTTATCAGAATAGGGCTTGGTGCTCTGACAGTGGAGAGGAAGATGTGGAAAGGATTTATTTTGAGGCCACAGAATGCTGAATCGGGAGGTTCTCACACAGCTCCCTCCTGATGAACAGTGTGACCTTGGGCAATTCACTTATTCACACTAAGCCCAAATCCCCTCACTGTAAATGGGCAAACTCAGGCTTTCTCTGTGCATCTCAGGCTCAGACAAGACCCAGAGGATGGACAACCTATCAAAGCTGGGGCTTCAGCACAGAAAGCAAGATGGGGATGTGTCACAGGATGTGGAGTTGAAGAATTGGGTTTGATACCAGAAATTGACACAACATTGTAAACTGACTATACTCCAACAACAATAACAAACTTTCTTTTTTAATTCACGAACCCCCCCAAAATAAGAAAAAAGAATCAGGTTTGAGACCTACTTACCAGCCATGTGACCTTGGAGTTGACACTTAACCTCTCTGCTCAAGAAAGCCAAAGCCACGTGAAAAGCTTTTGAAGAACTATCAGCTCCCACTTCCTCAGCCAGGTACCAGGTACAGATTGTGCATATATTTGTGTGAGGTTGGTATTATTATTCCCATTTTATACATGGGAAAATAAGGCCCAGGGAAGGTAAGGAACTTCTGAAAACATACAGATGTAGAAGTTGAACCCAGTCTGTCTGACTTCAGAGCGCATGCCCTCTCTCCTCGTGTAGCCCAGCACTAGGATGGGCAGCGTCC